CCCAGGCGGGTCTCGAACCCGCGGGCTCAGGCATTCCATTCACCTCAGCCTCCCAAAGGCGCGGGATTACAGGCTGAGCCACCGAGCCCGGCTTCCCTCTCTTCTAATAAACATAAATATCTCATGCCTGATTTTGCATGAAACAACAGGTACTTTTTCATCCTGAACATGCCTTTTTCAAGCATCCTGAAGACCGGATGCTGTCCTCTAACTTGGAGATTGGCTGCTGAGTGTGGGGGCTCCTTGAGCCACTCCCATCAGGGCACATCAGCCAGTCTCAGTCTTCATCCTCATCACTTCACAGATGCCAGGAGATGGGCCTGCTGAGCCTTCTCCCCTCTGTGGTGAGCCACAGACACTCACAGCAGCCTGCCCATCCCTGACAAGCACAGGGTACTTCCCCCATTGCTGTAAGAAGCCTACACACACACCCCCCCACCTTGTCTCCTGCAGCCCCTGCCTGGCCTCCCCTCTACTTTATAACCAGAAGCCTCACTTTGCATGGCCACGGGCCCCCTGAAATCTAGTTCCTGCCCACCTCTTCCATCTCATCATTACCCCTCTGTTCCCCTTCTCCTGCCTCCTCCTCTGCCCCCTTTTTCCCCCTCCTCCCCCCCCTTTCCCTTTCCTCCTCCTCCTCTCTCCTCCTTCTCCCTCCTCCTCCTCCCATATCCACCCAGCCCAGCCAAACCAAACTACAGATTTGCACTTTCTTAGAGTCACAATATTCTTTCTTTCTCCCTGGAATGTTTTTGTCCCTTCATCAACTGGCTAAGTCTTGCCTGTCCTTCAAAACAGCTCAGCTGTCACCTCCTCCAGGAAGTCTTTTCTGACCCCTCCAGACTGAGGTAGACAACCCTCCTCTCTTCTCCCACGTCTGTCAGCACTGACTACATTAAATAGTAAGTATGTGTCTCTGTCCCCATCCTGGGAGGTGGGACATGCCTCGATCCCCAGACACCTAGTCCTAGCCTTAGGAACAGAAGTGGTGAAGAGAAGTAGGAAGTCTGGGCTTCCTGGGCATGTCTTACGTGCTCAAAAGGTGATAAGTAGGCCAGGTACAGTGGCTCAAACCTGTAATCCCAGCATTTTGGGAGTCCAAGGTGAGTGGATTGCCTGAGCCCACGGTTCAAGAACAGCCTGGGAAACTTGGCGAGACCTCATCTCTACCATAAATCAAAAAATTAGCCGGACATGGTAGCACGCACCTATAGTTCCAGCTACTTGGCAGGCTAAGGCAGAAGGATCTCCTGAGCCTGGCAGGTTGACACTGGGGTGGTCATGAGGATGCCACTGCACTCCAGCCTGGGCGACGGAGTGAGACTTCAACTCAAAAAAAAAAAAGGCACTAAACAGATGAGTGGCTGTGCCTGCACCAACCGATTGACCTAACGGGCCCTAACTAGTGCGCCCAGCTACTGGGGAGCACAGGCAGTTCAGTCTCACGTCAGGATGGCTCCGTTCCCACATGGACTCCTGAACTAGGATGGACTGTGAGCATCCAGCTCGCCTGCCCAGGGTTCCTGCCTGCTCAGAAGAGAAGGAAATCACAGAGGGTATCATGCTCCCTCCTGGCCCTCTCTGTACCCCCATATGCTGCCTAGAGCCCTGATAGGCAGCCATCCTTGCCGCCATCCAGGACCCCGATATGCCACTGCCCCTCCCACCACCCAGAACCCCAATATGCCGCATCCTTCCTGCCACCAGGACCCCGATAAGCCATTGTCCTTCTCGCTACTTAGGCCCCATATATGACACCCACCCTTCCTACTACCCAGGACCCCAATTCGCTGCCACCCTTTCTACCACCCAGGACAGCAATGTGCCACCGCCCTTCCTGCCACCCAGGACCCTGATATGCTGCCACCCTTCCCACTACCCAGGACTCCCATATGCCACCATCATTCCCACCACCCAGGACCCTGATACCCCGCCACCCTTCCTGCCACCCATGACTCCGATTCACCACTGCTCTTCCTGCCATCCAATACACCACCATCCTTCCCACCACTCAGGACCCCAAAATACTGCCGCCCTTCCCTCCAGCCAAGGCTCCAAAACACTGCTGCCCTTCCCACCACCCAGGACAACAATGTGCCGCCACCCTTCCCGCTACCCGGAACCCTGATATGCCGCCATCGTTTCTGCCAACCAGGACCCTGATACGCCACCAACCTTCCCACTGCTCATGACCCTGATTTGCCGCTGCCCTTCCCATCACTCAGGACCCCAATACAAGCCGCCTTTCCCACCACCAGAATTCTTCATCCAACACGTCCCTTTTGAGATAAACAGCTGGACATCTCCAGATAGCTCTGGGCTTGCCTGTAAACCAGGCGCCTAAAAGCTGGAGACATGCAGCTCTGTGGAATAAGAAAGAGAGACTCAGAGCAGGAAGTGGGCATAGCCAGGGGCACCTGGCTTCAAAATAAAGATGGCCTTCCACTCAGGCCCTCCCCCTCCCCCCCAGCTGACCACCATCCTCCCTGCTGAAAAGTCCACTCCCACTCCCACCCCCAAGGCCTGCATCCTGCTCACATTCTCACCTCCCACCTCCAGGGGGCGCTGCCGAGTTAATGGCCTGAACCATGTCAGTGGTGAGTGCATCCAGCAGGCTGGTGATGAACTCCATTTTCTTCCCCTCTGGACAGCCTAGGAGAGACACAGAGACTTGAAGGCATTTGCCAGGCAGACAGTCAAGTTGATGGCTTCTCAATCACCACCCCCAGGCCCCCGAAGTCCTTGTCCAGCCGAACCCACGGGAGGGCAGCTCAACAGTTCTCAGAAACCTCCCGAGTCAACCTGCCCGCACCCGGTGAAGGACCAGCCGACCAGGCGGACGTGACACGTGCAGTCTTATCCCTTTCACAGGTGTCTGCTGAGCACCAGCTCAGGCACAGCGTCAGATGCCAGGGACACAAGGGGCACAATGACCAGCGCACCAGTCTTCAACCTCCTGTGGTCCACAATGCACCAGGGAACTCAAGCTCACAGCCAGGCCGGCATCCTAATGTGGGAAAAACACTGCTCCCGGGGTGAGCGTCAGGAGCCATGGGAGCTCCTGGGAAGGAGGGACACTGGGGGCAAGGCTGGCTTCAGCAGGCCTGTCGCCCTCTCCATCCAAGAGCTACCTCCTTTTCTCGCATCCCCCCATCCAGCTTGCATCACAGCAGCAGAGGCTTCCTGTAAACCCTCCCAAGTCCTGTGTTCCTCTTCTCCTCCCTGTGAGACTCCAGCAAGAACAGCAGAGAATAGCCGAGCCGGGGCACAGACATGCTTCTCCACATTCACACCATGTAACTGACAGGCACAACCAGGCAGGGAGGGGGATCCCTGCAAATTCACAATCACCAGCACCAAGCGGGCTCTAGGGGCCCCCACGCTCCACTCCCCTGCAGCCACCGGTTCCCTCTCTCCCCTCAAATCTTCCTGGGAGAAGCTGGTGTCTGAGCAGATGCTCCCTGCCCTCCACCAGCCCCTTGCCTCCCAAGCACCCGCCACGATCACTGGCAAAGGCATGTATGCCATCATCTGCACACAACACATCTCCTCTCTGCGGCCCTGTGAGGGTCTGGATCACTGGATGACACCTGTGTCTGGTACTTGGTAAGAGCTCCCTTCACCTTAGGTGAGGGCATGGCTACGGGGAGGTGCCCAGCCTCCATGATGTCATTCTTGTGACTGGGCAATTTCTGCAAGCCTCACTCAGAAACTCCTGGACTCTCAGGCTCTCGGTTCTCATGTGGAGCCTGACAGGTCATGGGAAGGCAGCTCAGTTCCTCCCAGTGCTGACCCAACTTTGTGCTGAGTCAAGACAAGACTGCAAGCCACCAACATGCGGTCATCTCACTGTGACTTGCAGGTAGAGATGGCAATAAATGGGAGAAACCAGCACGGCAGCCATGTTGAGGTCTCAGGCCTCCTCCTGTGTGTCTCATGCCACACTCCTGGTCTCCAGGGGTCATCTGTCTCTGCAGGACAGGTGACAGACACAACCCACACCCCTTAGGCATACCTCCCTGTAAGCTGTCCTTTCTTCACAGCCGTGGAGAAGACAACTCACAGTCCCCAACATATTGTCCCCACCAACCTTGGATGGAGAAAGGACCGTAGGATTCTGGGGAAGGGTTTTAACACCATGACTATGCCTTAAAGCTGAAAAGGCAATGCAAGGAAGAGAAGCCACATGCACACGGGCACAGGACTCACCAGGGACAAGTCCCAGGAGGGGATGCAGGTCCCAAAGCTCCGGCCCTATTTTGCAGACAGACAGATGGGAAAACAAACACGGGGCCAAGGCCACTTCTGCGCAATAGGGGAGGACCTGGAAGGGGTCCCACGATGCCCACCTGGCAGCTCCCTGTCCTTGAAGGGGTCGTCCACCTCCACACTCTTGGCCCTGGCGTCGCTCTCACAGCTGGGCATCACATAGCTGGGAAGAGAGAGACGTGGGGTCAAGAGGGGGCTGCAACTGGGTCTGTATCTGTCACTGCTGCCTAGCCATGACCTGTGTTGTCACCAAGCCCACAGCATTTGAGGTTGGCAGCAAAACGTCCCTGAGTTGTCCAGCAGCCACAGGGCCCTGTTGGAATACATGCACTCACTGAAACATGCTCAGGTGTGTCATTTTAGCCACTCAAGCATAACAGCAATGTCCCTTAGAGCGGCACAAGGACTTTTTTGGGGGCTCAGAAAGGGCAATAATCTTCTCATCAAGAGATGAAGTTTCAGGGAGGCTAGGCACTGTCCCAAGGTCACAGCTGGAAAAGGGCAGACCTGTGATCAGAACCCAGGCCCCAGGCTCTTCCTCCCAGAAGCCCTCAGCTGGTGAACAAAAAGGTGTCTCCTAGGACCTGCCTCCTACCCAACCAGGACAGCCGTGTTGGGAGCTGCCCGTGGATCGGGATGTGGGACCTCCTGCCCAGGACCAGCCAGGTGCAGGATGGTCTGTGTGGCTTACCGTGTGGAGGTCCCAGGCAGCGGGCGCCCTGTGTCCACCAGCACACACCAGCAATAGCCAGTGGACTGGTGGCATTGCACGGGCTTGTACAGCCCTCCAGGGGCACACTCAGGGATAACGATGCCCTCCCGCGGGTTCTGCCGGGCCTCCTCCAGGGCACTCTGTCTCTCCTGGTCACACGAGTGGACTTTCTCTGCAAGAGAAGACACTGCCTGCAGTGACTGTTCCTCCTGTGGCTCACTCTTGGCTTCTGCACCCAGTACCTGAACCTTCAGGAGCAAGGACTGGGCTGGCCTGAGAAACTGACAACTGACCTGGCTGACGCCAGAGCGTGCCTCCCATACCAGCTTATGCGGGGATGAATTTTCAGAGACTCCAAGTGGTCCTCTGCCACCAGGGTCCATCAGGGTTCCTACCAGACAGACAGCACACCAGCCAGGCCTCCAGGCTGCCACGACTCAGAGCAGTGCTGGCCCCAGGTTGAAATGTCCTCAGTGCTTTCAGAGTGGCTACTACTGTGCCCTGTCCACAGGCTCCAAGAGGAGGGTACAGGAGCCTGGCTGCCTGTGAGCTGATGTAAGAATGGCTGTGCACAGGGACATTCCCCAGCCTGGATACGGCAGGACAGGGTTGCAGGTCACCCACCTGTGCACAGGGACACTCCCCAGCCAGGATGCACAGATGGGGCTGCAGGCCACCAGCCTGTGCACAGGAACACTCTCTAGCCTGGACATACATACAAGGCTGCAGGCCACCAGCCTGTGCACAAGGCCATTCCCCAGCTTGGACACACAGACAGGGCTGCAGTCTACCAACCTTGACACAGGGACACTCCCCAGCCTGGACACACAGACAGGGCTGCCACCCAGCCGATGCACTGGGACACTCTCCAGCCGAGACATCCAGACAGGGCCATAGGCCACTAGCCTGTGTGTGGAGACACTCAACTCCCAAGAAAAGCAGAAACAAGGTCAATCCTACTTTTCCTACCTGCCAACACAGCTGGACAGATGGGCTGGATGGACTTGGATGGTCACACAACGCTGCTTCCATTCGATGGGGGGATAACAGACCCCACAGGAAGGGTTCTGCACCCAGGAACACGGGCACATGCCAGAGCAGCAGGCCCGACCTCCCCAGAACCAGGCCCGGGCTGGGTCACACATGGCATCTGTGCCTGTGCTGCCGGCTCTTACCTGAAAATTCTATCCAGGCCACCAGTTGACCTGCCTAGCTTCTCTTTTTGATTTGCTTTTGTTTCTATTATTAAAAACCATGCTGGGCTTCCTTTCTTATTAGAACGAATTTTTTGAAAAGGAGAATTTGGAAAAACCCATCATCCCACCAGAGTTCAGCCCTGCACCACTCACTCCCCGAGCTTGGCATGGATATGCATACAGGTACATACAGGTGCACATACCTGCATACTGTTTACAGGAAAGGATCACATCCCAAACCTGTGCTATGATTTTACTTTTTCATTGACTTATTTCTTTATTTACTTTAGTTTTTCATGCCATTATTCCACAACTCTTCTCTGGAAGAAGTTGATCGGAATTCAGTCAAAGGCAGGCCACTGGATTTTTGCAGGGTGTGACAAAATCCCATTCTTAGAGCTAGGACCTAGAGGACCATGCCACCCACTGAACAAGAGTGCAGATGATCCGCATAGAAACTCCACTCTCTTCAAGGGAGCCCAAACCCTGGAATAACAGCTCTTCTGAGGACACTCACACTCATCAAGCACACGTGTTTAAACAAGCCATGGGTGCACACAGAGGCATGTGGCAGCTCAGTACTGTTGGAAGGAGGAGCCTGATGACGGGAAAACCTTTTTTTGTCTCGCTTTGAGGAAAAAGGCTGATCTCCTTGCAGGATCATGGAAACCAGGATGTACAGCAGATTCATTGTCCAAAGGTCGTTTTGAATTTGGCAAAATTTTCTAAAAGCTTTCTGTGTTCATGATGCAAAAGAAACAACGTGAAACGGAGTCTCCTTGGCTAGAAGAACAGGTGTGTAAAAGGGATGACAAACATCAGCCCTGGATACTGCCTCCAGCTGTGACCACCACCAGGACAGTGTCTAGAGGCAGCTCAGGAAAGAGACAGAGGCTGGGCAGGGAGGTGCCTGGGAAACCTGGCTCGAAGACCTGGCCACAAAGGCATATAGTATGGCAAGTGGATCCTGGAGACTCAGAAGGAGGGAGGGCTGAGGAATGGGGAGGGATGAAAAATCACCTACCAGGTATAATGTGCACTACAGAGGGTGGTCACAGGTATTTAAAGCCCAGACTTCACCACTATACAATGCACCCATGTAACCAAAAACCACTTGTACTCCCAAAGCTATTGAAATGAAAAGTTAATTCGAATAAAAATTAATAAATTAGCTAGAATTAATAAAAAAGTAATTAGAAATTAAAATTAAATAGACTGACCAGGCATGGTGGCTCATGTCTGTAATCCCAGCACTTTGGGAAGCCAAGGAAGAGGATTGCTTCAGCCCAGAAGTTCGAGACCAGCCTGGGCTACATAGTTAGAACTCATCTCTACCAAAGATAAGTAAATAAATAAGATAATTCACCTGGTGTGGTGGCACACACCCATAGTTCCAGCTACTCAGGAGGTTGAGGCGAGAGAATTGCCTGAGCCCAGGAGATAGAGGCTGGCTGTGGTGAGCCATGATTATGTCACTGCACTCCAGCCTGGGTGACAGAGTGAAACCCTGATTCAAAAAACCAACTAAACAACTTCAGCATCCCAACTTCAGGCCCTGGCATGGCCACTTTGGGACTACTTCATAGTTCTTGCCATGAAAGAGGCAATTGAGAGGCAAAACCAGAGGAAAACAGCATCTTCCGGGCCCTGTGCTCATGTAACAGCCTCTGACAGAGGCCTGGAGTGAAGACCTTCTGCAGCCCTAAATCAGAGGACAGCGAGATGTAAGAGAGGAGATCAGGGCAGGGGAACCTGACTTCTTACCACTGGGGTCCTGACCTGCAGGAATGTGGGCTCAGGCCCTGCTAATGAATTCTGGGAGCCCCTGAAGGCTGTTCTGGAATGTTGACAGCAATGTCTGTAAAGTTCTGTAGAGAATGAAGTCATGTAAATGATAAGGCTCACTAATTTGGAAAAATAGGGATAGTGTGGAATTAAAAGAAAGGCTAAATGCAGGGTTTACTACTTTAAAAAATATTTGTTACTTTATTAGTCCCTGCAAGTCCAGGTGCCCTCTAAGAAAGAGACAGGGATGGTGCATCATAAAAGCACCAACCATCAGGGACACATCTATCTTCCAGCAAGGAGAAAAATCCCCCTTAAAATTACCTATAAACTAACAGCAATTAAGGCAAATATGCCTGGTGTGACACGTGCCGGTGACAGACTACAGGCTAAAGGCCGTGTCCTTCTGTCCATGTGGGGCGGACACTATGGTTATGCTCACTTTGCAGACAAGGATGCTGGACTTCGGGAGAGGATTTCTGGATTTCTCCACATCCACTGGGTCAGGAGTGAGAAGGGCTAGAAACCGGCAGTCCAGCCCGACTCACTCACCTCTAGACAGCACCACTCCTCACCAGTAGCTCTGGAGAAACACACGCTGAATCTCACAGTGAGTTCCTCCAGGTCGGCATCTTTGCAGACCACCCCAAAATTGCTGCACTCAAGACCAGAAATGTTCCACACAGCTTAAGCACTCTGTAAATTTGGCACCTAGGTGCTCTCCTCTCTTTGCCTCAGAACTGGAAAACATAAAACCGTATTTGCAGCTCACCCACCATTGCAGAACTATGACATAGATGACAACAGCTAACATCTGTGTCAGCATTTACATGGCACTGGGCATTTGTATTAACTCACTTCTAGCCCTAAGCCTTGAAGGTTGGTGCTACTGCTACCCTTACTGAACAGCAGGGGAAACCGGGACACAGCCTGGCTGAGTGACTGGACCAAGACGGTGGACCCAGAAGGTGGTAGAGCCAGACTCCAGCCCTGGCCATGTTTGTGTCTTCCCTGCAACACCACCTCTTGTTGCCACGGGCTTGTCTGATTTCTTTCCTTTTTCTTTTTCTTACTCCTTTGTCTTCATCATCTTCTTCATTGTTGTCTTTGTCTTCTTGTTCTTCTTCTTCCTCTCCACCCCTCTCCCCACTGCCTTTCTCTCTGTTTTTAGAGTCGGAGTCTCTGTCACCCAGGCTGGAGTCCAGTGGCATGATCCCAGCTCACCACAGCCTCAACATCCTGGCCTCTGGTGATCCTTCCGTCTCAGCCTCCTGAGTAGCTGGGACTACAGGTGCACACCACCACACCTGGTGACTATTATTTATTGTAGAGATGAGGTCTTGCCATGTTGCCCAGGCTGCTCTCGTACTCCTAGCCTCAAGTGATCCTCCCACCTCGGCCTCCCAAAGTGCTAGGGTTATAGGAGTGAGCCACTGCACCCAGCCTTGTCTGATTTCTACTCTAACCACTATTTTTCTTTTACTTGGTGTGGCAGATTGTTACACAACAGTCCCCAGTGGGCCACATCTCTTTGTGTCCATTCCCCTGTGTGGACCCCCATGTGGACTCTGATTTGCTGGGATCAACACAATGGCAGAGGTGAGACTGGCGCAGGCTAAAGGCTCAGGAGGTCATTGCTCTCACTGTCACTCTTGTGGGTGCTGCCCTGAGACCACGACCTACTACAAAAGCTGCTCTGCTCCCTGGAGAGTGAGAGGCCAGAAGGAAACAGAAGTGGCTCAGCCCTCAGCTGGCCCCAACTGCACACATGCCAAGGAGTCATCCAGGACACTCAGCCCAGATGATCTTCCACCTGGGTAAATCCAGGGTAAATGCATATAATACCAGGTAAGGAGCCACCAGCCAACCACAGACACATGGAGAAGAATCAGTTATTTTTCTGGTTAGCCTGTGAGTTCTGGAGTGCTTGTTACACAGCCATAGGTGACTGAGACATCTAAACTGCACAACTGTTTACCAACTTACCCCTAGGTAATGTTGCAGCCCCTGGAAGCCCTTCAGTCAGTCAATGATCCCAGCTTCTCCAGAGGCCACGCGAATGTTAATCAGGAAGTGCCCTGGGGCACAAGCTCATTCCTGCCTGGACTGAGACGCCAGCCCCTCCTTGAGGCCATCATCACCTCTATCCTTCTCAGTACCTTCCTGTGTGCATCCTAAAATCCACCTCTCT